TATTTTTCTTCGGAACTATGAAATAGAGGGCGGCCGAGTAAAAAATAGGTTTATTCTGATTAGACATTCGATTATTTTCAACACAACATTCAAGGCGGATAGACTTCATATTTGGTTATTAGTATACTACTTAAATTACTGGTAAATAAACACTATATTTTATAAACACATTTTATTAGAACAGTTTATTCACATAACTGCCATTAATTATTGTTTAGTATCAGTCTTTATGATTTATTTTTTTAGTACTTATGTTAATAATTTGTTAAATGAGTATTTAAAAATTCGTTTAATGGGGCGGCAAAAAAAAAAAATTTCCTAGGGGCGGCAATTGTGTAAATCCGTCTCTGATCACTATGTATAATGTATATAAAAATATTAGTTTAATTTGCTATTACATACATTTTAGTTTGAGAAATTTCCTGTACATAATATACTATATTGGTTTCAAAAATCAAAATAATTCAACAATATAATCAGATAAGTTACACTATTGATCATTGTGCTGACTGTGACTTTACTAGTTTACTGTATTGTGTTCTTGTCTTACAAATTGTTTTTTTTTTTAAGTTCTGGATTTAATAGTGGAAATTTTTGAAATTATTAAATCAAATAAGGATGCAGATAAGATTTGTCACAAAGGTCATATGTATACTTTAAAATATGCCGGAATACAATATTATACATGGAGATGTACAAAAAAAAGTGAGCTTAATTGTCCGGCTATTCTGACTTCTGAGAACTACAACTAAGATTACTCAACCTTTTGTTTCAAAAAATTTTGATTATATTATCACTTTGGTTTTTTTTTCCGTATACCACTATACTTGCACCTTACGGGTAATAATACCATCGCGAAGCCTAGATCGACGAGCACTTGAGACTTGACTGAAAAACTGAATAAGCTCGCGTACGAGGTTCGCGCCTCTCGTCACCACTACTGTCACCGCTGTCATTCATACCCAGCTGGCAGCCACAGTCGCACTGGCGCAAACTGTCCTCGGAGGTGCAGGCTGTCTCACCGCGGCCGCTCCACGACAGCCGTCACCGCTCCGACAAACCGCTGGGCCGGGTGGCATGGACAGGATGGCGTTATTCGCCGTTACTACCATACAATGGCGTCGTTCGGGGGGTGGCAACTGGGGCATTTGCTCCAGTCTAGTATTTACATCAAACTTAAGTCGGTACATTTACCCCCCCCCCCCCCACACCACCACTATGGCACATTGGCACTATACTATGAGAATCTGAGGAAAAAAAATGTTGAGTCGGATAAGCATTAAGCAGTGAAAAGTTGCCCTAGTCTAATAAAAACTGAAATGACGCCACTGCTACCATATCCGTTACAAGCATGAAATGCCGTGCGCCCGTGCCCTTTTAATCCTGGTGATGACTGATGAAATGCAACGTAACATTCACGTAACCCGTTCGCTCTGCTACAACCAAATTCACCCACTTCTAAATTCAAAATTCAATCGAATTCGTCTTCCAACAATTTCAATATTCATCTGCATTCTGCTGTCAACATTCCGTTAATCCAATTCAATTCACCTTCCATCAATATTTCCGACAAGTGACAACTCAAATTAAATTCGCCTTCACTCAACATGGACGCCGGCTTCACATTCAATCCAATGTCATCCGCACACAGTCTCGCCTTTCAAAAAATGTTCTCTGTTCATTGTATTTTTCGCAACGTATTGTTCTATGCCCCTATGGTATTTTTCATATTTCTAAAGTTTTTTCTCCTCGGGGGGAGCAATGTGGGGAAGCCATCACCACAATACTCCTTCTCATCGGTCGCACTGCCGTTAGTTGGCCTTGGCACCCTACTCTACCAAAGATCTATTAACAAATAGGTCTATGGTTGGCACCACCGCCCGGCTTACAGGGAGTAGGGACTAGGGACCACGAATTAAGATAGTGACCACGAATTTAGATAGAACTATCTTAATTCGTGACAGCGACCCAGCGACGCCGAACGGCGTCTCGACTCCACGCCTCAGCGGTCGCCGCCCTCGACAATATGACAAATTTTATTTAATTTTTCGTGGTTCAATAGAGGTCTGCCGAGAAACACCGCTCTGTCTCTGTGTGACTCTTCGTAACGTAGTCCGTCATCTTACCTTCCAACGTCACGTGTAATCGTCTCTGCGAACGAGGCTATGACAGTACGACGAGATTTTCATTGACCGCTCGACGTGCGGACATTGAATTCTATCTGACGCGATTTGTAATTAATTATGAATGCTAAAAGGACATTGGACGATTCCTCGAACTCGGACCATGAAACAAATGATCCTATTTCTATAAAAAAAATAAAAAATAATACTAGTTCAGTTGAATCGGTTCCAAATACAAATACAGATATGTCTAGTGCATCAACTAGTGCATCAAGTAAGATCCACCTTTAATAAAAATCAATTTATTTTACTATTTTTATTTTTAAATTTTAATTGTATCTGTCTTGTAACATTTTTTTATTTCATATCAGTTATAATAATGACGAATTTGATAATAACAAAAAGTGTCCATAAAGGGGGATGCTAAGGGGCTTTAGTCAGATAGCACCCTCTGCGTCAAAGTTCTGGACACACCTATGTCACATTTACTCACACAAATAGATTTTATTCCCTTGAGCATATAAATTAGAATTTTTTTTTTTTATGTACTTAACTTAAATTAATTTTGTGATCGAACTACAAAATCCTTGATTTACTTGAATAATGGTGTAGTTTAGTTTGAAAGTAGGGGAAGTAGGTAGCCTAAGCCCCAAGTTATGAAAAGTCTATACCATAGTTATCTAGTTCATCAGTACTCCAAAATTCTTGAGTCCTCGGTCTTATTTTTTAATGTTAGGTACTTAATTATTATTTTCAGTTTTAACCTGGACTAATCTTATTATTTATGTTGGATACTTTTTTATTCACTCTACAATATTTACTAATTAATCTAATAACATAAAATAATATAGAAAGTTAAGTTAATTCCTAAACAAAATGTAAATTTATATTAATTTTATTAAATAGTTAACATACCTAGTAATTATATATTTATATTTATAATATCCACTATTAAAGTTTGCTTTAATAAATATAATATAAGACATTGCCTATACATACATTTTCATAAATCTTTAAATTTCTCAACATAACTAGATACCTACAACCTACAACTTGCACTCTTTATTATTAATTAAATTACGAGGAGTAATATTTACTAAGTTTACCCTCGGAAAACTTATTCAATTGATTACATTACTGTCCATGTATACTAGGCATTCGTTTTAAAACTTTTTAATTAATTTATTGCTGTTATTTTTTCCATGTGGATTATAGGTGTATTCATAACTCGTTATAAAACAATTGTCTAAATATTAATTAATATTTATTTTAATTATTATATTTATAGTTTTATTAATTATTTTATATAACTAGTTGTTTTTGTTTTTAGACTTACCTGGTACGATTACTCACACTAGTGAAGGAAGTTATGTGTTTGCATTAAGCACTTTTAATTTTGAGGAATTTGGGGATGAAGAGACTTTAAGATTAGTTAGTGAAAATGATGAAAAAGACAGTGAACCAGAGGACACATCTGAATTAGAATATTGTTATCATAAAAATGGTTTACATTATACCCCTGGAGGATGTCCAATTGGTATAATGTCGCTTTGTGAATTTTTCGAAATAGAATAAATTATTGACTCTGATAAGCTAAATTTTAATGTAACTAACTTACATTTATATATTATATAATAAAATATTTATTATTTATAAATGATTGTATTTTAATTGTTTACCTTTGAAGGAGGTGTTACCCTTGGGTTTCTTCCTCAACACGATATTCATGTTAATTTATTCTGTTTTTTTTTCTATCTAATCTTGCTTATTGTAAATATTGTGTACAGATTGTAAATTTAGTGCATCAAGTAAGATCCACGTTTAATTAAAAATAAATTTATTTTACTATTTTGACTTTTAAATTTTAATTGTATGTCTTGTGACATTTTTTTTTTCATATTAGTTATAATAATGACGAATTTGAAAATAACAAAAAATTGTTCAGAAAGGTGGAGGCTAAGGGGCTTTAGCCGGGATGCACCCTCTGTGTCAAAGGTCTGGACACGTCTATGGGTCATAGAAATAGGCTTTTGCCTATAGTAATTAGGTAGGCTCTCTTGTTATTTATATAGCGCCATAGCCAGTCCATAACAAACACTAGAACCAATTTTCTGTTGTTAACTTTAATATTATATTTGACTTAACATCAAATTTAAAGGTAATAACGTTATTTGTGTTCTCTCGTTAGTTTGTTATCGATATTTTAATATTCATGTGACTCATGAGCATTTTTATACTTCAATATTTTATACAAGCACTCATAGGGCATAACTCGCTATTAAAAAAATAAATATTGTCAGAAAAAAAAATAGTTATTTTCCTCGTTATGGAATTGGCAAAAGCCCAAAGGTGCGCCAAGTAAAAACTATTTCTCGTATTTTTATGATTTTTATGAGTATTTATTAATGTGCTCAGTGCACACTTATGAGTTATGACTAACTAATTATCTTACAGATAATGCAAGAAATAAGAATACAATCTACGAATTATCTAAGGACTACGGAGTCTAGAACAATACTGAAGAAAATTATAAATATTTATAATTGAAATCGAAATTCGAAATGTATAAATTACTATGAATTCAAAGACAATACAATAATTATCGATCGTTTATACGTCATTATGGCTACACTGGAGTTAGTTTTCCTCACTTGGAGCGTTAATATCATTTTCACCTTATCACATCACAAGTGGCAATCTATTTCCTCTAATCATGTTTTCTCTTTTTTTGTGCGCGGCAGCTGAACTGTGACGTACTGAGGTGACTGTTCAAGTGTTATTCAGTTGTTTACTGTTTAGTCGCGAACGGTTCAACGGTACAATATTAGTGCGTGATCTCCGTAATAATTGTAGATTTTGTAGGACTTGCCGAACGCGATGGCCGGTAGATCACGAGGACGTAACGGCAATGGCAGGTTCCATAACTCCAATCCACGTGAGTATATTATTATAGTACAAATCGACGGTTTGGTGGTGTGCTAGTTGTTGACGAGGAGGGAGAGGGGTGGATGACGGTGCTCGGAAAACGTCTACGACCTAATAAGAATTTGGTCCACTTATTATTATTTATCACCAACGTACTTTATTCAATTACGATGTTGCCGTCTCGCCATTTCTTTGTGTACCCATATACTAAAATAGTTTGCATTTTTTTATTATGTACATTGTAAGTGTACCTTATCAATCAGTTTTGATAAATTGGCAAATGTTTCAGTCTCGGGGGGGAATTTCCCGGAGCGCTACAATTAACGGGGGGAAACGTTCGAATACCCACCACCTGCTTTTACCTTTCTTTAGAGAAAATTTGTTGTTTTTTTTGTTTCTGAAAAATATAAGTATTCTTATTATTTCTAGTGCATATTTGTACTAAGCGTATGCACGTCCAGGGGGTTTTAAAATGTCCACGGTTCATATTACACCGAATTCAAACACCAAATTGTATATTGCATATTTAAAGGATTATTGCATTTTCGTTCATAAATGCATATAACACGCATACTTAATGGGTTTTTAGTATAATTGTTAAAATATTTTCATGTTCGTAATACTTCATGAGATTGGAGCACGTATAGATAAGATATTAACAACAATAAATCACATATACCCGCTTTCCGGTATACTATGCTGTTCCTTCAACATTCACTACAAATAAGGCAAAAACTCAATTTTACAACTTTTATAACTATTATATTCACAGATGATTTTAGTTTTTTTTTATTTTGATTGCCTTTTTTAAAAGTTTTCTGAGAGGTTTAGACAGGGGCGTCATTTCAGTTTTTTTTCCGGGTGTGCAAGATTTTAGGCAGGCCAATTTTAACATTTAACCAGGCCAACTTTAACATTAATATCTAAACAATAACCATGCCGTTTAAAGTATTTAGTATTTATTTTATCAGCCATGCTATGCTTACTCCACTATAGTTGATACCAGCAGGCTGGCACGAACTGTCTTACATAATAAAACCACAGAATAAGACTCGCTTCACACGGTTGTCAAATAGGGATATATTTGATAATAAAGCTGATAAAAAAAAAATTTAATTACATGCATGAATCAGTGGCGCCAAAATATATATTTACTTTGCGCATGGTAAGGTAATTATAATAAATAGGTGGGTGTCAAAATTGTATGTGGAGGTGTCTAATGCCATAGTTAAAATGTTGGACTTCAGCGCCACTGGGCCAAGAATATTTTATTAATTTTTAATAGTAATCATATCGGCGCATAGGAGCATTAATGGAGGGCCAATTATTTATTCTATTATGTCAGTGGTGCCGTCGCACACCCTGCCCACCCCCAAATGACGCCCCTGGGTTTAGACATTGTATTTTAAACAAACTGTAAATGTTTGATTAAGAAAAAATAAAGATTATAAAATATTGCATTTTGATTTTAAAGCATTACAAAAATTATTATTTAAATATTTTTTTTTTGTTTCTGATAGAATATCTAATACCTACTTTTTTTGATATAAAAGTGTTTGTTTTTAAAAATCACATTTTATTATGTATAACAATGCATATACCTAATTGCACATTTAGCCACTTTTTCCTTGCATATATACATCATATTTGACACTTTTTAAATGCAAATAAATCTGGGCTCTTGTAATAAACCACTTTTCATAATGTTTGGATATTAAGTACCTAATTCCTGTTAATGTTTGTACCATATTTTAATCTTATACTGTACCTAATAATACCTCACACCATAAATTTCGTAAATAAAAATGTATAAAATACAGTAAATTTTATTATTTCAATATTTACTTAATATAAAATATAAGTTATAGCTAAGTTATATATTTTACCTAAGACATTTATTGTGTCAATTGTCAATGAACAAGCCAAAAAGCTCAAATCCATTTCTTGAAAATTTAACACTTGCATATGCAGTTCACACAAAATTAATGGGTTCATCTGATATCTTTCTTTCCTATCATTGCTAATAGAAGATTTCTACATTTTAGGTGGTGAACGAAATAATGAACATGATGATCGAACTTCAAGACCTAGCACTAGTCGAGGAGGTGGTGGATACTCAGATCGTCATGGTTTTAATAAAAAGGTGACATTCAAAGCAAATCAACGTGGAGGTAATCATTTTCGTAAAAGCTGGGAAAGTAAAACTGATTTGGTCCGTGATCAACTGGATAGTGAATTTCCTAATCGGAATGGCCCATCTAGAAATAATACTGGTCGACGGTATGTATTTTATTTTTGTTAGTTGTTACTATTTCTAAAATCTATTAATATACCTATAAATATTAACATTTAATAGATCTTTTCCTGAAAGAAATCATGGTCGTGGTGGTAATGGTAATTTCAGAAGCTTATCATGGGCATTGAAAGAAAGTAGTACTGGCTGGTATTCAGTATTTGTAAGTTCTAATTTTCAATATATCTGCCTAATAATTATTTATTATACATGTTTAAATTTTATTTATTCTGGTTTTTAAGGTGCCAAATGTTGAAGATTGTGACGAAGTCCTTAAAATAATACAAACTTATATCACACCAGTTGTATTTTATCCATACAATGTATGATATTTCTATGCTATTTGTATAATTTTAGAATGTATGATAATAATCAATATTTATTTTACAGAAACAATATTTTGATAATGCTTTAAGATTTCTTGTTGATGATTTTAAAGTTGCTAAGACATTGCACAACACTAGTTATAAGATAACACAAAGAGATGATCGAAAAGTAAGTTTAAACTGTTCAGTTGTTTGTTGTAGGCACATGATTGAGTTTTAAAAATGTATTTTAACATGAATATTTGTACTTAGTTAGTTATAAAGGTGTGTATATATTTGCCTCCACGTGGTCCTATTTCATTCACACCAGTATCCAGTGAAGTGAGAGAAAAAATGATAGAAGCCATGGCGACTCGTTACAATCCTAGTACCAAGAGTTTAGATTTGTCACAGTTCTATGCTTGTTCACGTATGTAAAAGTTTATTTGATATTAAGGGCATCGGTGCAGTTTTTAGTACAAAAACATGTCTTTCAGGAAAAACTCTCAACCTAACCTCGTAGAATAGTCAGATGTTGTTAATTTTTTCTTTATTTAAAAGAAAAGAATTTGCATGTCGGATTAAAGCCTAATTTTAAAAATATAATTATGGAATCTCAAAATATGAATTTGAATAATGCACAATATTTGTTCTATTTTTAAACGTATTTTTCTACTACTATTTGCAATAAAAAAATTGTCTTTGATCCAATCTGAAAAATGTTCTTTTTTAAATAAAAAAAATAATTAATGATATCAGAGTATTCTTTTACGGGGCGTGAGAGTTTTTCCTGTCAAGTCATTTTTGTTGATATAATACATTGTATCAATTCCACCCCTAAATAGGTATCTGTAGCTTAGTGGAAAAGTATTGTAATTAAGGAAGTAACTAAAATATAAATTATAATTTGAAAATTTAATAGAATTTTGGAAAATCGAAAAAACCGCACCAACACCCTTAAGATAATTGTTTTAAAAGTAATATGGAAAAAAAATTTATTTTTGTTTCAGTGTTTACCAATAATCAACTATTTGTACCATTAAATCGACCAGCCGTTCTTTTGGCAGCACTCAACATGGTTGCTCAACATACCAAGCATGACTTGTACGGTTTAAGTCTTGAAAATAATCACATATATTTAGGCGAAGGTCTTATATGGATACGTAGGTTGTTTCCTGAACTGAAAGTGTTGGATTTAGCTGGCAACAAAGTAATATGTTCTTTTTTTGTTTTATTGGACCAATATTCAAAAATAATTTTTATTGCAGTTTTCTGACTTAAAAGAGCTAAGGTGTCTCTCAGGTTACACTATTCATGAGCTGAACTTGTCCAGAAATCCTGTGTGCAATACAGAGGACAAAGAGCGTTACAAACGGTATGCACATTTTTTTTTATGCTTCAGATTTAACACCACTTAACATATATTCATACTATACATGTTTTAGGGATGTACAACAATTTTTTCCTATGCTAAACAAGTTGGTAAGTGTCATCTGTTTTATCTTATTCCATTTGTACGCTAAGTGTTAGCGAGGAACCACAAGACCGATGTTTTTATAGTACTAGCTTAACAGTATTATGATTATTTTTGGTGTATTGTAAGGTAAGGTGTCCGAGGTAAGTACATCTTACCTGGTTTAAATTTCAAATCAATATTACATCACGAGTCTTGCAATGCTGAACAAGTTTGAAAAAGGATTACACATTGAGACCGTAATTGATGGTTGTTTGATTAAACGTGGACGTGTTATACACAATTTGAACATAATTACAATACAATAATAGCATGTATTTTATATGTTATGCGTTTTAGTAGTTTTATATGCAAATATTGAAATACTTCAATGTTGTATTTATGAGTTTAAAAGTTCCAAATGTTAGTTGGATGAAAGGTTTTGCTATAATAATAAAAATAAATATTATTGCTTGATTGTATTAAAACAAATATATGTTACAAATTACGGGTGAAAAAAATATTTAGAATTTTAGTTTGTTACCTTCACCCAGCATATGCAAATGTAGAACTTGAAAACAAGTAAAAAAAAAAAAAAAATATTTGATCAACTATCTTTTCAAGTTAAAAATGCTGTTGGTATTTATTAAGTTGAACTGATGTTTAGGATGTAGGGCAATGTTGTTTAATTTTTTTTCAGGATAACTCAGATCTGCCGTCTCGGTACAGTGCGATTATTGGATCCAAGTTTAAAATGCCAATTAACTTGGGTAACAGTTATCCAATACCAGAAGGCCATAATCCTGAACTGCCAAATCCAGTAATGACTCTAGTAGAATCATTTCTCACCCAATATTATGTACTATACGATAACCAAGTGTCTAGACAAATGGTATCGGAAGCTTACCATGAAAATGCCATATTCACGTTATCCAGTTGTTTTCTGTTTAAAAAGTAGGTGTATATATGAAAACCCATAAATCACAATTCTGTTAACTAATTGTAATTGTATTTAATTTTAGTGTTAAAGGTAGCTTATCACAGTATCTACCTGAAAGCAGAAACTTATTGAAATCTGAAAGAAACAGACACGGTAGACGTCGGTTTTTACATAAAGGCAAACAAGACATAATAAACTTTTTAGACAAGTTACCTAAAACCAAGCATGATATTGGTTCATTCATAGTTGATGTACCATTGGCAAATGTTAGTATATTGTTTATTAAATTATACTTTTTCAAAGTTATAAATTTTTTTTTATTTTAGACTGCAATGGTTCAGATTGTAGTGAACGGTGTGTTTGCTGAAGATTTTAAAGAAACCAACTATAGACACGTTTATCGTTCATTCTGCAGAACATTTTGTATAGTGCCGATCGGTAGTGGGTGGAGTATAATTAGCGATATGTTATTTGTAACAACAGTCACTGATGAGTTATTACTAGTAAGTGAATTTGTGTGTTGCTTCATTTTTAAGTATATGAAATTAAACAAACATTTTGCATTTCAGGAGTCTTCAAAACGGTTCCATGTTTTCAAACCAAAACCAGTGCATTCCAAAAAAAATAACTCAAATGGTAACAGTAACCAAAACGGAACAATGTTTATGGAGGATACAGATGAAATGGCTGGCATGGAATCATCATCATCCTATCAACAGCCTCCCACACCCAGCTACCCACCACCATCTTATCAGCAATCCACATTTTCATCTTATCAGTCTTCACCAATGACGCCTCCTATTAATCCACAGCAACCATCGCCTTATCAAGGAGGCATGCAGACGTCTACTCCACAGGTCCAACAAATGACGCCTGTAGCAACAGAAAATTTCCAACCAGACTCTCAACAGCAGTCAAGTGCCTCATTTCCTATGTTCAACACAATATCACCTTCAACAACAGCATTTCCTACACCTTCAACTCCTGCTTCCTTGCCTGTAAATCAATTGTCGACTGAAGTGCCTGTAAATTTGATGAGGGATACTAATGCCAATCCCGATAAGTTGACTATGATTAAGAGTTTTTCAAATGAGTCTGGAATGAATAATGAATGGGCTGAAAAGTAAGTCATTAACTATTCTTTGGTCTTACTTATTTCAGTTTTCAATAAAGTAGTGCAAGGTTTTGACCGGCCCAAATATATAAAAAAAAACCCCTTGTTATGTTATCTACAATTTTTTATGCCACCCTTTTTATTATACTCTACTTTACTTTTTAACTATACTCTGTTCAAAATAAGACCGGACCTCTGCGGCGACCAGTTTTCGTCTGGCGGCGGTCAGACATATGGTAAAACGCTGTCCCCACCACGGCGGTGCGTCGGGCTCTGCCACGAAACAAAGCCACGCCCATGCGCACAACTCGGCCGCCGAGGTCCGGTCTTATTTTGAACAGAGTATAGGTAGGTAATATCATTTTGAAATAGATGGTGGCAGACATTTTATAAAAACAATTCTACACCTATATCAATTAAAAGTCTACAAACTATTATGGCAATATTTATTGATAAACAAAAATATTAGTAGGTTATTAAAGGATGTCTTAATTTTTTTTTATTTCTGAAAATATATCAAATGCATCTGCATTAATTTAGGTAGAATAAGGTACTCAACTTAAATATTAACACAATACCCAGAATAGTTGAATAGTTTACCATATACGACTGTCGCAAACTCATAAGTTAACTGAAGTCTGGGATCAATGGACATTGATAATTAATAAGAGTGCCAATCGGTTGTTGGTTTTTAGAATTTGTATTCATTTTAGATTTTAAAACTATACGGGATTGCGATAATAATTATTATTATTGTTATACACTCACCCAAACAAACATCTCTACATACAATGTGTACGTCCCCGCATACGTCTAAATATAAATATATTCCAACCAGTGGCCCCCTAGGCCAGAGCCCATAGTGAAATTGTAGGTTCAATTACTTAAAGCATTTCATGTATATCTACACTGTTTACAGTTTTTCACCATGATTAATTTTGTCAGTTGATTAAAATCGTTTTTGAGGAATCCACAAATAAATGATTGTCAGGACTTGTTTTGATGACTTTGATGTTAAATTCACAGTTAGATAACATTAAAATATATATAAATGAAATTGTCAATATTTTTTAAAAAAGAATTAAGAAATTAATTTTACATAATTATAAAATAAAATTGTGCAATTTTTATTTGTATTGTATATGTCATAAATCATAATTATAACCACCCAGCTCCCAGAAATGTGTACCTACAGTATTATGGCTGTGTTAGTCGGGCTATGCTTGGATAGTGATAAATTGCCCAAATTGGCCCATAGTGAAAATAATTTGTATATACGCCACTGATTCCAACTATCAATTATTAGTAAAAATGCATCATTGTGACAATCATTTCTTAGTACATAGTATATTTTCTGAAAATATTTTAAAATAGGCATGTTTATGCGCTAATAAAATATAATAATGGACAGACGGCAACAACTGGGCCCCACCCCATAGGGCCACTTTTAAAATCAGACAGAGGCAAATTCCCACCTGGCACCCCTCCCCCCCCCCCAAATGAAGCCACTGACTTATTTATGCTTATGCTACTATATTGAGAGTGGAAGTAATGCTATTTGTTTGTTATGATTTGTGAAATGTCTTCATCTGATATTTACAATTTGATAACAATATAAAATATATTTAATATCAAAATTACCTTAAAAATTTTTTTCCAATAATTGTAGTCCTCTAGTTAAGTTTATTACTTTACTTAAGTTTTCTTGTGTTTTAATATTTTATTTATTTATTTGCAGGTGCTTAGAAGAAAATGGTTGGGATTATGCCAAAGCGGCTTCATGTTTTTCAGACCTAAAAGCAAATATTCCACCTGCGGCTTTCATACATTAATTCGGATAATTTGATTACATGAGTCTTAAACATAACATCATTAGTTCTACTTTTATGATGTCGACATTTAGTATAAAATTGTTTTGGTTTATTCTTCTAATGTCTATAATATAAATTTAAAAAAATAAAATGTAAACCTGCTATTGTGAAACAACCAAAACCATTTTCCATATTTTATTTAGTTTTTTTTTTTTTAAATTGGTTTTAAGATTCTTGGTTTATGGAAACAAAAATGATGGAGAAAATTGTGTTTACCATGATGATAAAAAAAAATGACAAAGAAAACGAAAAATGAAAAACAAATAATTAAAAAGAGTCAAAAAATTGTTTTTTGACCGATTCCTTTTATTATTGCCTTGTAGGCTTTGAAGGATTATTTAGTATACAGACTGCATAGAAGTCTAATATTGAAGTCTGGAAAGATTGATTTTCATATGGACCAAGAACTATATCTAAAAACCGAGAAAGTAATTTTAATAAAATGGTTTTGATTGTTTAACCGTAAACGGTATATTTTGAGGAAAACCAATTAATGAAAATTAAAATAAACGTTCTTATTTTTACTGTAATACAAAAATAATTTAAGAAATATATTAAAGAATTGTAAGAAATGTAAATAATTGTACTTTGTAACACATACTACCTACCTTATATTATATTTGCCTTATTTAATTTTTTTTAAATGAGTGATTGTTTTAAATTAATTTTAAATTATTGTAATTTAATTGTTTAAGACGCCGTTGTGACCTTTTTCCAACATACATGGTTGATCGTGTAATGATTTCTGTTAATCATTGATATCAATTAAATATAAATTAAAATACGATACTTGAAATATAAATTTGCTATGTAAATAATTTCTTGTTGTTTTCAAATATAATTATTATAGTATTATAATAAAATTATTTTTGCCGAGAAACCGTTTTTATTACTAAGTGCCCGTCACAACTATTAAACCTAGTTATAATAGAGTTATACACTTATACACGGCATTACTATTGTAATTTGTAGGCATTTTAGTATAAGTGATACATTTTTTTAACATATAAATTATTAGAGATGGAGAATTTACGTAAAAAAAAATATTGGTAAATTTACCAATTGTGTGGTAGAAATGGTAAAGTAGCTAAATCTTAGAACCATTGTTACTTTTTACTATTAGACATTAGTAAATACGATTTGTATTAGATACTACTGTACTAATGTTGACCTACTTGTTAAATCTAGTTCTTTCTAATAATAACAATAATTAACAAAAAAAATTAAAAAATGTATCTAAAATATCTATTGTTCTGTATTAGACATTAGTAAAGACCGGATTTATATGTTTTTACATATCGTTACTGGGTCTATGCAGTCTTATGAGAGTAAAAAATGTGGACGATTCGTTCAATTCTGAATGCGTAGAAAAAAGTTTTTTTTGCATATTTGAGAATATTTCATGGGTTGGAGAATATTCAACCAATGTAGCATATTTTGGAATATTTCGTAAATTGTGAGCAAAAATTTGTATTTATTTTTAATTTTAATATTACGGTACTCTGAAAAATTTTTTTTGACCATTTACAATTTATTTATTTATTTTTTCATTTTGATAAAAATAAAACAATCAGTATTATCAAGGTTTATCTATGTATATCTACTGATAAGATCAGCTTAATATAAGTTTATCCACAGATATATACAATATTGAATATATAATTATTGTATATATCTGTGGACTGCGAGTTTATCAAATATTCAAATATCAAAATTTTGTTTTTGTGTTTTAATATTATACTGTTATATTTATCAAGGCTGGGCAAGTTAACTATTTTTTTTAACTCGTTAAGTTAAGTTAATATAGAAAAATGTAAGTTAAGTTTAAAGTTAAAAGTTAACTTCATTTTTTTTTTAACTTGTAAAAGTTACAAGTTAATTAGAAAATAAAAGTAACTTAACTTAGTTAAAAATAAGTTACTTTTTTTTTAAAATAAAATTAACAATTATACCTACGGCACCTACCTACCTTTTTTAAAGCTAACAAATAACATAATAATTCAATAAATCAAAAAATGTCTTACAATATTTGAATAAATGTTTGTAATAAAATTAGTTACTGTAGGTACTTATATTAATTTTGTGTATTATACTTTAATTAGGTAAATAGTAAATACAACGCTACTACGGGTATTATTTACATCGACGGGCCAAGTTATCACCGTAATTCTATGAATGAATAAAAATATAATTAAGTAATGATATTAATAATGATTAGGTATAGGTTAGGTGATATGTCGTGTATGGGATAGGTACTGAGTAAATTGTTATATTTTTCTTTGACGTGGTTAGAGTCATCTCTATGATATTTCTCTCTAAAAATATAGTTATAAAATATTTTCTGTGAATATGCAATATAAAAACTTACTATTATTATTATAAATTATTATTTAATAAAATATATTTAATATTTCGGGTTTTTTTTTATGTAATTAATTTTACAAAATTGAATTAATTTTAAATAATATGTGGTTTGGGAAAAAATTAACTTAACGTGCCAATAAAATTAATTAACTCGTTAAGTTACTGAATAACATGGGGAAAAATGTAAATCGTTATGTTAGAAGTTAATTCTAAAAAAAAAAGTAACTCGTTAATTAACTTAGTTAAAAGTAACTTAACTTTTTAACTTAACTTTAACTTATTAACTCGTTAATGCCCAGCCTTGATATTTATATTATATTCCAACTTCCTACTCTTGCTAAAATGCAATACTATTCCATTAGGTATAATACGCAACTCTTAATACCTAATTAATATCTCACTATAAAAATATAGTGAGAAAAAAAATTTTAAAAAATAAATGCATATTAAAGCATAAAATGATGTTTTTTGATTATTTTTGCATATTTTTTAAATTTTTGAGAGAATATAATGAGAATATTTGAAGGGTTTTTAGAGAATATTAGCATCATATTTTGGGTATTTTAAGAGAATATAAATCCGGTCTTTAGACATTAGTAATCAGTAAATTTTATGAAATATGATTATTTAATTATTCAGATTACAATTAATAAATAATTTAAATTAAACTAAATTATCAAAATTCACATTACTTAATACTTTTAAAGTCAAAACATTTATATTTAGACTTCACTTTGTATTAATAATAGTATATTATCAATATCACATTATCTGCCTTCTTGGTAACTGCATAGATAATATAAGAATTCTTATATTATCTATGGGTAACTGCCATCTGCCCAAATAAAATTATAATTGATAAATCATTTGCTCAGGAAATATGATTCTGTGGGGAGACTCACCACTCGCCACAGGTTACTCTTAAAATCTGAAGATTGAAGCATTTTTATAGTAGCTACCAAAACTACGAAACACTTGTATAGTACCTACCTATACTAACAAAAATATTTTTCAAAACCGATGACATCATATTATTTTGTACTTCACTATACTGGAAAAAGAAAAATAGTGTCGTACTTAATAGGTACCCAAATTGCTTAATATCTAAAACACTGTATGTACATGCGATCGTAATTTCACTACCTACCTATAGTCTGTGTTGTAGTCACTTCGCGAAATTCGAAAATATTTCACAAAATTGTCACTTTTTCATGTAGTGGCTGTGTTGTAAAGTATTCAAATATTTTTTATTTCGATGTATTTGAATGCTATTTTAAATACTTTTTTTTACTATTGAATACTTTTTTTTTTCTTAATTTGTTTCTACTTATAGTATTAATCTTGTTAAATAAAAATACCATGCCGTCGTGGGTTTGCTTTAACATTATAACAATATAATATAATATATTTATCATTTATGCCTTACAGACAAATTGGTATCAGTTTTCGTTGATTAAATGTTTTTATCTCTAGGAGACGGTTCATTGTCGACGATGATCGAAAAGATACATCTGTAGTCAGTATCACTATTAGCTTAAGTGAATAACAAAATATATAAGTGAAAAGCTTCTACTTAACAGCTATTATACTTTATCATTATTTAACTATACAAAAATATTGTTAATAATTATTAGTACCTACCTACCTACCAGTCTTGTAAAGTATTAGAATTCAAGTATTTGAATACTTGTATTTAAAAAGTATTTAAATATTTGAGTATTTGAATACTTTAAGATTTTTTCAAATACTTCTGAAAAGTATTTGAGTAATACTCAAATGTCAAATACGTTTACTATTTATAGTATTTGGGTGGTATTTTAAATACTTTATTTTAAGAGTATTTGATTAATTACTTAAATACTTTTAAAAAGTATTTTTTACAACACTGTAAGTAGTGGCTGCTACTTACTCCAATTTTATATTGTGTGATTGTTTTCACAATGTGGTCGTTCACTTTGTGCTTACTGAAATAGTCAAGTTTGATTATAACCATTATTACTTATTTAAAGTATTAAGTATTGATCAAGTATACTTAATTTGAGTGACTTCAACAATACCATAAGTATAAGAATACAAGATTATAGTATAAACATAGACCAACGGCAAAGACGGTTTCACTTTCACACAACGAGAATGTTAGCAAGAAATTCATTGTGTTTAATTTTGAATGAACCTAATGTAATAATCAATATAATATTTAAAAGACAAAAAACGTTTACACCCTTGTTTTTGGAAATTTTTTTTTATAAACGGTTGCTATTGTTTTAGTAATAATAATAATAATAATTCTTATTATTGTTAATTGCATTGTTTTTTTCCTATCTTTTACTTTTTTATTTTTATTCTTTATATATCTACACAATAATATATTATACGAATGTATTCGGTTTTTTCTTTAATTAATCGGACTTTAGCACGGTCAGCTAAGGTTAGGATTTTGTATTATAATATTTGATTGTATATTTGCATAACTTTCACAAAAGTTCAATTATACGCGCACCAAGCTGAGGTAATAGCAAAGCACCGCCATGTCAGGAAGTATGTAAATAATCAAAAATTGAGTCGTGTAGAATAATATTTTCATCTATTAATTAAAA